CCCTCTCTCCCTCCCTCCTCTCTCCCTCTCTCCTCCCTCCTCTCTCCCTCTCTCCCTCCTCCCTCTTCTCTCCTCCTTCCCTCTCTCCTCTCTCTCCTTCCCTCTCTCTCTCTCTCTCTCTCTCTCTCTCTCTCTCTCCTCTCTCTCTCTCTCTCTCTCTCTCTCTCTCTCTCTCTCTCTCTCTTCTCTCTCTCTCTCTTCTCTCTCTCTCTCTCTCTTCTCTCTCTCTCTCTCTCTCTCTCCTCTCCTCCTCTCTCTCTCTCTCTCTCTCTTCTCTCTCTCTCTCCTCTCTCTCTATTACACAAGCTATCCTGTATTCTTCCCCCTCCCATCCCCCCCCATTCCTCGCAAGGCGTCGTCGGTTCTGGTTCCCGCCGGGAGTTCCCCGAGCTGGAGGAATGTCGGGGCGCGCTTGCGAAAAGGGCCTTGCGCATTTTGGCCGTCCTCTTTTTTCTCGCGCTTCTTTTTTTTCTTTTATTTCTTTTATTTTTATCTTTATGATTTTCTTCTTTTTTTCTTCTTTTTGTATTTTCTTCTTTTTTCTTTTTCTTTTTCTATTTCTTTTCTTTTCCTTTTTTTTTCCCGCGCGAGTTCGATTGTTTAAGGTCAGTCGAACGGGTGAGGTGTCCGTGTCCTTACCGGGGGTGGGGGGAGTGGGGTAGGAGGGAGTAGGGGTGCGTAATTATATTTTTGTCTTAGCTTGTCAATTCGTGATTAAATATTCTTTTTTTTTGTGGTTTCTGTTTTGGGCGAGTCTGTGGCGGGATTTGAGCCCGAGTGCCCGCTTGTGGTTTGTTTGTTTGTTTGGGATCCTGTGGGGGGGAGGAGGTCGTTGTTGCCACGTGTGCGCTTTTGGCATTCTGGGAGATTTTTAGTGCCCTTCCTTTCGTTAATTTTATTATCTATCTATTTATCTATATATTACTCTTCGTTTGATTTCTTCCTCAATATTCGTCTTTCTTTAGTGTTGTCTTTTCTTTCCTTGATTTTGTGTTTCCCACTTGCTGGCTATTATTCGCTCCGTTCCTTCTCTCATTCGCTCTCTCTTCTTCCTTTATCCCTCGCCATGAACAGGTTCTTCCCTCTTTCTCTCTGTTCTCCATTATTCCCTTATTTTACCTTTCATCTCTCTCTCTCATTATTCCCTCTTTTCTCTCTCTCCTCTCTCTCTCTCTCTCTCTCTCTCTCTATCTATATCTATCTATCCATCTTCTATCTCTCTATCTTCTCTCTCTCTCTCTCTCTCTCTCTCTCTCTCTCTCTCTCTCTCTCTCTCTCTCTCTCTCTCTCTCTCTCTCTCTCTATCTCTATCTCTATCTCTATCTCTATCTCTATCTCTCTCTCTATCTCTCTCTCTCTCTCTCTCTCTCTCTCTCTCTCTCCTCTCTCTCTCTACTCTCTCTCTCTCTCCTCCTCTCTCTCTCTCTCTTTCCTCTCTCCTCTCTTCCTCTCCTTCCTCTCCCTCTCTCCCTCTCTCCCCTCCCTCCCCTCCCCTCCCTCCCTCCCTCCCTCCCTCCCTCCCTAACCACCCACCTTCCCTCCTCCCTCTCCCCTCCCTTATCCCTCGCCCCCTCCTTCCCTTTCACTCATGCCCCCCTCCCCCTCCCCTCGTCCCCTCTTTCCCACCCCTTCCCCTCCCCTCTTTTCCTCACCCTTTCCCTCGTCCCTCCTCCCTCTTCCCCTCCCCTCCTCCCTCCCCCTCCTCCCCCCCCTCCCCCTCCCTCTCCCCTCCTCCCTCACCCCCTCCTCCCTCTGTCGCTGCGGGCGTAGCGTCGTGTTGCGGTGAGGAAACTCGGTAACGGCGAGCGTGGGTGATGATGATGATGATGGCGGCTGCCGTGGCGATGGTGCCAGTCGTGTCACTGCCATTTTCCACGATGCTCACGAGGCGTAAAACGTGGCGAGGTGAGTGAACCCGAGACACTGGGTGAGAAACGATGTCAGATGTTCAATTCTCGATGTGAACACGACAGAGAGGCTCACGCGCGCACGTGCAGGCCCGCGCATTCCTCCAAGGTGAGGCGAGATGGAGAAGAGAGCGACGCGGGCTGTCATAAAACTGTTGCCTAATGAAATGTGTCTGTGTTCTGTGTCTGTGTCTGTGTCTGTGTGGTGTGCGTGTGCGTGTGCGTTTGCGGTGGTTTTGGTGCGTGTGCGGTGTGGCGTTGTGGCCGTGTGTGTGTGTGTGTGTGTGTGTGTGTGTGGTGTTGTGTGGCGTGTGTGGTGCGTGTGTGTGTGCCGTTGTGTGTGTGCTGTGTTGTGAGAGAGAAGAGAGAGAGAGAGAGAGAGAGAGAGAGGAGGAGAGAGGAAGAGAGAGAGAAGAGAGAGAAGAGAGAGAGAGAGAGAGAAGAGAGAGAGAGAGAGAGATACAAGCTTCATAACACTGCGACTCTTTAACTGACATGCAAAATACTTGAGCAAACGGGCTCCGAAAATAGGCAAGATGTCCGCGAAGAAAAACACTCGCTTCTGCATACAAACAAAATATTTAGCTCCTCCGCTTCAGACTTTTGTTGTTGTTTTTTCTCTCTATTTTTTGTTTGATGTTTGCGTAGGGAAGGAATGGACAGAGGGATATGAAGAGAGGATGAGTGGATTGGAATAAAGGTTATTCTGTATTTAGGTGAACACAGAAAGATGGGAGAAGAAGAACGTTTATGAATGAATGGTGTTCTGTTTAGACAAGTGCATAGAGATAGGAAGACACTCACACGTACAAACACAGGTACAGAAAACACACACGTACACACACACACACGTACACACACACACAACACACACACACACACACACACACACGTACACACACACACACACACACGTACACACACACACACACACACACACACACACACACCACACACACATACACATATGTATACACACATAAACACATACGCACACATACATATACACACACAAACACACATACGCACACATACATGTATACACACACAAACACACATACGCACACATACATGTATACACACATAAACACACATACGCACACATACATGTATACACACATAAACACACATACGCACACATACATGATACAACACACAACACACATACGCTAACATACATGTATACACACACAAACACAACATACGCTAACATACCATGTATACACACACAAACACACATACGCACACATACATGCACACATACAAACACATACAGAGAGAGAGAGAGCACGAAAGATCGCTAAGACTCGGGTAGTTGAGCTCAAGGTTGTGTTGTGTTGTATAAGACGGGCAAGTTTGAAAGTGCAACTCCTGCCCGGGGATGTGTGCTATTTCTCTTGATCTCACGCACTCTCAGCCTCTCACACACGCACTTCCTCGCTCTCAGCCTCTCACACACGCACTTCCTCACTCTCTCTCACTTGCTCTTCAGCCTCTCTCACTTGCACTCTCACTCTCAACTCGCACAAGCTCACTTGCTCACTCTCAGCCTCTCACACAGCTCTCACTCTTCAGCCTCTCACTACACGCACTTTGCTCACTCTCAGCCTCTCACACACGCACTTCCTCACTCTCAGCCTCTTACACGCACTTCTCACTCTCAGCCTCTCACTACACGCACTTCCTCACTCTCAGCTTCTCACGCACTTGCTCACTCTCAGCCTCTCACACACGCACTTGCTCACTCTCACAGCACTCTCACATACGCACTTCCTCACTCTCAGCCTCTCACACACGCACTTCCTCACTCTCAGCCTCTCACACACGCACTTGCTCACTCTCAGCCTCTCACTCACGATACGCACTTCCTCACTCTCAGGCCTCTCACACACGCACTTCCTCACTCTCAGCCTCTCACTACACGCACTCTGCTCGCTCTCAGCCTCTCACACACGCACTCCCTCACTCTCAGCCTTCTCACACACGCACTTCCTTCACTCTCAGCCTCTCACTACACGCACTCCTCACCTCAGCCTCTCACACACAGACGCACTCCCTCACTCTCAGCCTCTCACACACAGCACTCCTCACTCTCAGCCTCTCACACACGCACTTCCTCACTCTCACTCTCACTACACGCACTTCTCACTCTCACTCTCACACACACGCACTCCCTCATCTCAGCCTCTCACACACGCACTCCTCACTCTCAGCCTCTTCACACACGCACTTCCTCACTCTCAGCCTCTCACTACACGCACTTCTCACTCTCAGCCTCTCACACACGCACTCCCTCACTCTCAGCCTCCACACACGCACTTCCTCACTCTCAGCCTCTCACTACACGCACTTCCTCACTCTCAGCCTCTCACACACGCACTTCCTCACTCTCAGCCTCTCACACACGCACTTCCTCACTCTCAGCCTCTCACACACGCACTTCCTCACTCTCAGCCTCTCACTACACGCACTTCCTCACTCTCAGCCTCTCACTACAAGCACTTGCTCACTCTCAGCCTCTCACTACAAGCACTTGCTCACTCTCAGCCTCTCACTACAAGCACTTGCTCACTCTCAGCCTCTCACTACACGCACTTGCTCACTCTCAGCCTCTCACTACAAGCACTTGCTCACTCTCGGCCTCACACACGCACATCCTCACTCTCGCGCCTCACACACGCAATCCTCACTCTCAGCCTCTCACTACACGCACTTCCTCACTCTCAGCCTCTCACATACGCACTTCCTCACTCCCAGCCTCTCACATACGCACTTCCTCACTCTCAGCCTCTCACTACACGCACTTCCTCGCTCTCGCGCCTCACACACGCACTCCTTCGCTCTCAGCCTCTCACTCACGCACTTCCTCGCACTCGCGCCTCACACACGCACTTCCTCACTCTCAGCCTCTCACTACACGCACTTCTCACTCTCAGCCTCTCACACACGCACTTGCTCACTCTCAGCCTCTCACTACACGCACTTCCTCACTCTTTATTTCTCCCGGGGAATCAAATCAATTCCTGGGTCTGCCCTTGATGGTGGGTCTTTGTGGTGGAAGAATTAGAGGTAAAGGAAGAGCACATATACTCTCTCTCTCTCTCTCTCTCTCTCTCTCTCTCTCTCTCTCTCTCTCTCTCTCTCTCTCTCTCTCTCTCTCTCTCTCTCTCTCTCTCTCTCTCTCTCTCAGGATTTTTTGGTTGCCGGTTTGGATTTGTTTGTTTGATTCTCAAGATAAAAGACTAGCAATGGGAGCTACGGTTCACCACGGTTTCTGTGCTCTTTCGTCGTCTCGCGCAGTTACTTAGGTCGACATTCGCCTCGTTTGCGCGCTCGGCAGACCTTCCCGCCGCCTCCGCCCCCCCCACCCCCACCCCCCGTCTCTCCCCGCCGGGTTCCTGACGCAGCTCCGGTCGCAGCCGCCTTCAGAGGTTCACATCCTTTCCGTTCGTTGCAGATCGACATCGAGGGCGAGGCCCAGCCGAAAGACAAGGGCGGCTCGAAGGATGACCTGCGCAGGAATAACAAGGACTTGCTCAAGAAGATCCCCGAGGGCGCCGAGGCCACGGCTGTGCTGGTGGGCGCCGTAGACTTCCTCAAGCAGCCTACCATCGCCTTCGTCAGGCTGGCTGAGGGCGTCATGATGGACAACCTGGTGGAGGTGAGCATTTTCCTTCTCTGTTTTAAGGTTTTCTTTATCTTCATCTTGGCGGCCTGTCTCGTGTCCCGTCCAGGAAGGCCCGCGCTCTCGCTCTCGTGGAGTCCGAGAAGAAGAGCGCAGGGAACAGTTCTAGAATCCTTAACAGCTCTTATTCTGAATTATCTTCGCTCGCGCCCGCCACTCGGGGCGCCGCCCTTCTCCACTGACACCCCCCCCCCCTTCCCCCAGGTGCCCATCCCCGTGCGCTTCATGTTCGTGCTGCTGGGCCCCTTCCACGGCGAGATGGACTACCACGAGGTGGGGCGCTCCATCTCCACCCTCATGTCCGACAAGGGCTTCCACGAGGTGGCCTACCGCGCCCACTCGCGCGGCCAGCTGCTCTCGGCCATCAACGAGTTCCTGAACGCCTCCATCGTGCTGCCGCCCTCCGACTGGAACAACAAGGACCTGGTGCCCATCGACGACATCCGCGCCAAGGCCAACCAGATCATGAAGAAGAAGGAGAGCCTCCGCTCCAAGCGCAAGCAGACGGAGACCGGTAAGGCGCCACCCCGGGCTTCCTTCCTTGGGGCCTCACGGGGCTGGCTTAGGCTCGCTTGCATTTGTCTTACCCTCCTTTGCGGCATAACTATAAACCTACTGATTCAGTGAGTATATATTTTCATATCCCTTATCATCTGAGAGTAACGCAGCTGCATTTCTCGCTCTGCGGCAATTTCGCTCTCCCTCCACCCCGCCCACACCCTGGTCGCGCCCACTGACACGCCCTCCCTCCCCAGCGGCCGTGACCCCGGCCTCCGCAGGCGATGGCGACGGCGGGAAGAAGAGGCCTCCTCCGAGGGATCCTCTCATCCGCACCGGGAAGCCCTTCTTCGGCGTCCTGCAGGACCTCAAGACCCGCTACCCGCTCTACCTGTCCGACATCAAGGACGGCCTCAGCGGGCAGGTGCTGGCGGCCGCCATCTTCATCTTCTTCGCCGCGCTCTCCGCCGCCATCACCTTCGGCGGCATCTACGGTGAGTCGGCGCGCGCCCTTGGCTGTCCATTCTGGCTGTGTGATTGGTTTTGCTCTCTTTTTGAAAACTCGTATCCAAAATTAAACCTAAATATCTCAGCTAATCAAGTTTTATGTTGTCGTTGGTCGGTTGTGGTGGAGCTGTAGTTTTAATTTTGATTGCATTCGTGCTGCTCTTCCTTCTCTCTCCGAGTTCCTCTTTATCCTTCCTTCTTCCCTTCCTTCTTCCCTTCCCCTCACCGAACGGCCTCTAACCGCGCCCCTTCCGCCCGCCAGGCGACCGTATGAACAACTACATCGGCGTGGGCGAGACGCTGCTCATGTCCTCCGTCAACGGCATCATCTTCGCCCTGTTCGCCGCCCAGCCGCTGCTCATCGTGGGCGCCACGGGCCCGCTCATGATCTTCGACATGAGTCTGTACTCGGTAAGAGGAGGAGTTTTATCTTTCAGGAGATTCATGAATAGGATTCATCGTCTCGGGGTCATTTTCTGATTGTAAATGTTTCCTTCCCAAGAAATATCTCGTACTCGGAAGTTATGATCATAGTAAGAATTTTACGGCAACATATGGCAGTATTTCTAAATATATACGATTTTTTCCTTCGTTCCTTTTCAAAATTATATATATTTTTTTAAATTGCATTTTACTTCCGTTGACACATCTCCCCATTCCTTTCTTCATACTCACTTGTATCCGCCTCCCCCGCCCAGTTCTGCCAGTCGTATGAGATCGACTTCCTGGCCACGCGAGTGTGGGTGGGAATATGGATGACTGTGACCGCCGTCCTTGTCACCGCCTTCGAGGCCGTGGCCATCGTCAAGAAGTTCACCCGCTTCACCGAGGAGATCTTTTCGACGCTGGTGTGCCTCATTTTCATCTACGGCGCCTTCGAGAAGCTGGCCGAGATCTTCGTCCATCACCCGCTGCAGTCCAAGTATGGCTTCAAGGACATCAACGGCTCGGAAATGTAAGTCGACGGCGTTGGGCCTCTCTCTCGCTCTTCTCTTTCTTTCTTTTTTCTCTCTCTCTATTCAACTAGCTGTATATCTATCCGTCTGTCTATATATTTATCTCAATTGCTGTCCATCTCTTTCTCTTTCTTTCCCCCTCCCCCACTCTCTCCTTCTATCTCTCTTCTCTCCCACTCTCTCCTTCTATCTCTCTCTTTCTCTCCCCATCTCACTCACTCTCTCCCTCCCCTCCCCCGTCCTCTCCCTCCCTTCCTTCCTTCCTCCTCCTTCCCTCCCCTCCCCTCCCCTCCCCTCCCCTCCCCTCCCCTCCCCTCCCTCCCCTCCCCTCCCCTCCCCTCCCCTCCCTCCCTCCCTCCTCCCTCCCTCCCTCCCTCCCTCCCTCCCTCCCTCCCTCCCTCCCTCCCTCCCTCCCTAATTTCTCACCACTATATAGTATAAGAATATTAAAGGCCATGTGGCCCCTTGAATGCTCTCAACTCACCAGCCTCTTCCTCTTGCAGTGCATCTGGCATCATCATCAATGGATCCCTCTATAACGCAACCAACATGGAAGACGAGGACGTGACAGCCATCGAACCAGCTCAGCCCAACACTGCTCTCCTCTCCATGATTCTGATGATCAGCACCTTCCTCATTGCCTTCAAGCTCAAACATTTCCGTAACTCCAAGTTCCTCGGCAGAAGTGTGAGTGCCTTTGTCTTGGCTTCATTTGTTAGGTTCTCTATGTGATACATCACAATGACTATTGCTATGTTAGTATGAACTGTTTGTTGTGTTCATCTTCAGCATTTTTATTGGTTAAAAATACTTTTTACTTGCATCAGCTTCTGTTGATTTACCACTGCATAAACTTATTCATGCATTTGCTCTCTTCACTTTCCAGGTACGTCGTGCTCTTGGTGACTTTGGTGTGCCCATCTCCATTGTCCTCATGGTCACCCTGGACTACCTCATCCATGACACCTACACCGACAAGCTCACCATGCCCGAAGGTCTCAGCCCATCCAACCCAGAAATCAGAGGATGGATGATCAACCCCATGGGTGTCACCAAGGCACTGCCCATCTGGGTCATCTTCCTTGCTGCTCCTGCTTCCCTCCTCCTCTTCTGCCTCGTATTCCTGGAAGAGAACATCTGCCAGTAAGTCTGCAGGAGGTTTGCAAGGAAAATTGGTGATGGTGGAGGGGAGTAGAGAGGGGAGGGGGGATTGGAGTTGCTGGTGTGAAAGGAAGGGGGGACATAGAGACTTTCTTTTGTATCTTGCAATCTGGCAAATATATTTAGACAATAAATATATTGACAAAGGATAGGCCATGATCATATATTTGTCTAGTTATGATTTATTAATAATGCACTCAAATAGAAAAGTAGATATTAGATCTTTATTACAAAACCAGCATACAAAATAAGCAAAACAGTCTTTTATAAGCCACAATCCTTTGAAACAAACGTAAAATGTGTGTTTGCTCATTCCATATAGACAATAAAAGGTCAGCATATCTTCCACAAAACCTGATCATATTTTTTACTCTTTCTTCACCTCTAGCCTTATCTTGAGCAAGCCTGAGAAGAACATGGTAAAGGGAACAGGTTTCCATTGGGATCTGATCCTCTCCGGTTTCATCAATTTTGTGTCTGGGCTCTTTGGTGCTCCCTTCATGGGCCCGGCCTGCGTGAGAACTGTGTCCCACACCTCTGCTCTGACCGTCATGAGCTCAACCCATGCCCCTGGAGAGTCTCCTAAGATTGTGGGCGTTCTTGGTAAGATCTATTTTCTTTTTTTCTTTTCCTTTTTCATGATTGGCATATAGTTGGGTAGTGAAGTACTTTTATTTCATGAGTTGCATATATAATATTACTTAAAATATACTATCAGTTTGACTTATTAAAGGGTAAATTGTAGAAAATAAGAATTTGTTCTTTGCCTTTACAGAGCAGCGAGTTAGTGCCGTCATTGTGTCAGTCTTGGTGGGACTGTCAGTGTTCCTGACAGCAGCTCTTAACCTTGTACCAAAGTCTGTGCTGCTAGGTATCTTCCTGTACATGGGTATCTCTGCCACAGCTGGTATTCAGTTCCTCGAGCGCACAATTCTTTTCCTCATGCCAGTCAAGCACCATCCTAATGTAGCTTATGTGAAGAAAGTGAGTATTTGCAGAAGAGCCTTGCTTTTTTGTTATAAAGACTTCATCCCACGCTTTGATGTGGTGTTCTATTGTTTATTGCTCATTTTTGAAATGTATATATTAATTGATTTTTCCCCTTTTTTTTTCAAATGAATGTGGATCATAAATATCTTGATACCTTTTCAGGTGCGCACATGGAAGATGCATGCTTACACCGGCATCCAGCTCCTTATGTTGGTAATCCTATGGATTGTAAAGCAGTCTCCTGCTGCTCTCTGCTTCCCATTCGTGCTCATGTGCCTCATTCCCATTAGATTGTACCTTCTTCCCTATGCATTCAGTGGAGTTGAGCTCAATGCAGTAAGTTTCATATATTGTTTTTATTTTCTTATTTACATTTGATCTGCAAAATTTTTCTTGGTAAAAAATGTTAACCAGATGTAATTGCTCAAATGTTTTTTAAAGTTAGTTGATAAATCATACACCTATTAGAAGACTAAAGTTTACAAAAAAGACAGAATATATATGTATTGATAAGATAAGAGGCCCTTAGCCCTTCTTACTTTGTTGCTTTCTTGATTTTTACATGATATATTATTCTGAACACAAGGATTAGGAGTAATGATTGTTTAGTTTTTTTTTATAATCTCCCCATAAATGTTTTTAACCTTGCCCATTGCCTCCAGCTTGACGGAACTGAGGCCACAGCCACAGCAAACAACGATGATGATGAGCCTGACTTCTTCGAGGAAGCTCACGATTTGCCGACATACATTGACCATCACCACCAGAACTGAAGGCCGCCCCCTCCCTTGCACAGAAGATCGTCTCAGTTCTGCAGTAGATCTGTTCAAAGGAAAGAAAAACAACACAAACTGGTTATGTTTAAGTAGGCTTTTATCTTTTAGAAAAGGAAGAATTTGTTTTCTTTCTCATTTTAAATTTAAATTTCTCCATGTAGATATCCTCAAAATTTTACTCTGAGTCTTTTAAAGTGGATTTCTTATTCCTGAAAACTGGAAAGTAATTGGTGAATTTATCACTGGTACTTACAGGTAATAAACAATTGTTGAGGATTTAGACAAACAGCCATGATTCAGTGTAATTTTTATGGCTTTTTAGTCAGTTGTCTAGGTTTTATCATCATTAATTGTTGATGGAATGACAATATATATTCAAAGGAGGATCTGAACATGCTGTGCATGATGAATTTATTGTCCTCTCATGAAGGAGAAATATCACTTAGGGAGATTGATTGTTTTGCTGCTTTCAGTACAATAGTCATCTCTTTTTTTACACTTGTAGAGAAAATTGGACTGAAGTTCAACATGTAATTATTTCTATCCAAGTAATTCAAGTTTATTTAACAGAATTTTACTTTTAAAGCTTATTATTCTTAGCTGGAGTATTTTAAGTCACTTAACCAGACCCAGTGATGGATCTGTTCACAGTTGTGAAGGAACAGTACAAGACTTTTATCATTCCACAATATGGTGCTGAATAAACACATAGGTGCTTTAGTAAAACATCTTTTCTGTGAGGAAGAGGCTGTAAGCTGTTTAGATGCTCCGTCCATCAGTATTTAAGGTGAAGATATTTTTTTCCGAATGAAAAGCAATTTGCTCAAGTTAGTTGGTTTTGCAGAAAAAATTATAGGATGTTCCATTAAAGTTGAAAGGCAGATTGTATTAGATATTTATGTGATATGATTATATAGTTTTTATTATTATTAATGATAATCTAGCATATGTAGGGTTTATGCAAGTACAGTACTCTGATCCTGTTGTAAGGCCCCAAACTGCAGCTGTTTAGTGAATCCATTTAGACACCAAATAGCGACCAAGAGCACAGCCTAACTCTCCATTGCTCTTACTTGTTCTTTTGTGTCTAGCAGAGGCATTGGCTTGCAAAAATTTTATCTGCAGAATCTGGTATCCAGGGAGGCTGGGACTGTTGTGGGTCATTTTATTTATCTTTTTTCTTCTTTTTTGAGACCTGACGTTCCTATCTATTAGTAATATATCACTCAAGTGTTGGCTTCAAGACACCTATAACTATGTAATTGTAGTTGTTATTGTGTTGTGGACTGTAAATGCATTGCTATTAGTTTATCACATTTCCATGTGCCAAATTGATTAATGTGTTTTCATTATCTTTTTTATGGATTTTTTATGGATTTTGATTTGAAGAACAATTTTGACCAAAAGGTAATCAATCGTGGATTCGATAATTGCAGTGAGATTCTTCAAGTTGATGTGCCTGGTTTATTTTTCATCATTTTGTACATTCATGCCGTACCGATTAGCATGTTTCATTTACTTCTGTTCTTATTTTATAAATATGTATCAGCTGCCATAGCTTCCTTCGTATCTAGTTTGAGTTCTCCATTTTCATCACACTTTCTGTGGTTATTTTATTTATAGCTAACAATTAAACAAGCTCCGTTCCACAGGAACAATGGGCTTTTCTTTAACCAGCAGAATTTTGTGATGAAAATGCTCCAACTATTGGGAGTAAATCTGTGATTTGAAATGGAGAGTATCCAATATGTGTGTGTAAATAGTACATAACTTTTTGATGTATACCATGTTTGTCCAGACTGTCTTTACATTATAGTGTTGCCTCTATAGATGTCTGTATATAGATATATATATTAATGTGAGATATTTTATCTCAACAAAAGGTATAATAAACATTACAGGTGAAAAAAAACATGTATCATTTCCCCAATTCATCTTATAAATTTCTATCCTTTACAAGAAAGAAAAATATAGCATATTTGCTTTATTCTATCTCACTTACTAAATAATAATGAAATTA